TGAAACTCCGGTATTTCATACTAGCTATTATCTGCCTACCTTGGTGAAAAAATAAAATAAATCAACAACACATAACCACACATCCCTCGAAAAATAAACTGAGAATTTAAACAAACGCTTAAAATTTCAAAGTAGTTTCCACGAATAGAAACATATTCCCATAATACCTACCCAAATGCAGTGCTTGCATATTTTTCAACAGATCCCCCCCTCCACGATGTACCATAACATCATCAACTTCCATCGGCTCCATCGTAGAGGCGGTTGATGCTGATCTGTGGTAGCTAGAGAGCATCAGCAGCAACACTGAAAAATGCCTAAATGTGTATGTATTTGTTTTTCAAGAACAATACGAATTAACAAAATTATAGATGTTATTATTATTATTTATAAAATGATATAATAACAACAATAATAGTATCAGAGTTTCACCCTGTCGTGATATGAAAAACATATTCGAGAGCATATCACCGCGAATATCGCCTTTTTCACCAAGTTTTACGACGCCACTTCACGTAAAATCCACGTCCACCATAAATTTACATCATTAAAAAATTTCCCTATCCATTATACATTTGTTATCGAAATCAACACTTTTTATTATAAATTTTCATTCCAATTCATCATACCGTAAATCCACCAAATCACTTTAAAAACCACACTGATACAGGTTCTCAACGACAACGTTTTAACACGGGGACAACCGTCCCAATGGGAAGGAAGACCGACGATTAATACTTCCAAGTTTTATCAAATACCATCATTAGGAAAGCAAATTCCCCTTATAGTAACAACCACTTCGCATAGAACCCAAAACACCATCGTTACTATACTCGATAATAATAATTAAAATTATATTCGAAAAAAATATATTCTATTATATTATATATATTATATTCGACAAATTATATTCGTTCATACCACACCTCCCTGAAAACCGCGACAATTCAGAGCTAAACTCAATCGAAATTTCCACCAAAAACATAATTTTCTCCTTCCCACTAATACAACACAATTCCCTGTCACTTCAACTGCCAAAATATACAAATAATAATAACTCACAAATTCTACAAAATGTGGTATCACACCAAAACCTGCGATGCAAGGAAAGGATGCTCCAGTGCTTCCTCAGGCGTAATCCTTTTCGCCGGCTCCAACGCCGTCATTTTTTCAATCAAATCGATCAACTCCTCCGTTTTCTCTTCCAAATGTTTCCTATTATTATCATCAGCAGCCAATTTTCGCGTCCCCTGCAGAACTTTCGCACGAATAGTATCACAACTAGGATTTGGTTCGAAATCCTTAATCGTTTTCACAACTCCATTTTTTTGTTTCCACATAAAATCGCCCTCCTCGTTAAAATGCCCCCGACTTTTTACGAATTTACTCGAACGTATTACCCCGGGTAAAAACTTCCCTTTCACGTCCTGGATCTGCTTTAACATATCATTATTATTTCTGCCCTGGAAAAGTATCTTACCCGTCCACAACTCGAATATTGTGCACCCGATTGCCCACATATCGATCGCATAAGAGTAATTGCGATACCCCAACATAATTTCAGGAGCGCGGTAAAATCTCGATACCAAATATTCCACAATTTCCTCTCCTTCCTGAATTTCACACGCGCTTCCCAAATCACATATTTTCAACTGCGCGTGATTTTTCGAAATTAACACATTATCCGGTTTAATATCTGCGTGAATAATTCCGCACATTTTCATGTGTTTTAACCCCAACACCAATTGTCTACTATAAGACCATACCGCACGCGGCGCCAATCCTCGCACCCCAGGACTTGCATATTTCTTCATAGCATCTCTCAAATTACTCCACATCGCTTCAAATACCAAACACATGTGACCATGGTACCCAAACGTCCTCATCAGTCTGATAATATGACTTCGGTCCTTCCCCTTGAGATCTTTCGCACACATATTATCAGCTTCATCGTTTAATCGTCGGAGTAATTTCACCTCTTTTTCCGCGGCTTTTGTCATCACATCATTTTTCCTAATAATCTTAATTGCGACATCTTCCAACCTACCAAACAACAACAACAATAAATCCTCATCTACGGATCAATATGAAAATTCATATTAAAAAAATCTATAAAATGACTAAATAAAATATAAAACACATTTTCGCGCAACAAACCGCGAATGCTGATTCATAGATTCAACGACATTATTTATTAATGAGTATTATTCAACGTTCTCCTTTTCTTCACAAGGTCATCGCATTAAACCACATGAGTGTTGGAGGACTATATGTTCGCTTTCCTCAGCTGAGCTCAAAAGTTTTCTCATTAATTGTCTTGAAGTTTATATACAAATTCGGGTAGAAGTGTACATGACTTTAATATTTCAGAATTTTCATTTTGTCACCAACATACGTAGTTTATTATATGCATTTCTCCCCAAAGAAACTACGAAACTCAATCGTCCAAAAAAACTGATATATGATTTTATTTTTACATTTTTTTACCAAAATTTCAAAACCTCTCAATAGAAAAGTCAAAATTGCCACTTATGCGATACCTACAAATCTCAAATTTTCTTGAAAATTTTTCACCAGTTTTCTCAAATTGAATACTATTCCCAACTTACGTTTTATTGTCTTTGCACTTCAACACATTCGAAAAAACTCCTTTGCTAATCTGAGAACTTCCCGAATTCAAAACCACATATCTCCCGTCCAAAGTCTCCAAATGTGACGGTACAAAATACCTAAAAAATATCATTTTCAGTCAATCTCAACTCCTCCCCTTACCCCTCGTTATCATCCCTCTCCCCTTCAACAGGAGTCTTCTCTCTATTTTCCTGCAATTCTCGCGCTTTCTCCAACATCACCTTTATGTGAGCTTCCGTCGCCTCCTCACCCGTGTCACTGACCATCCTATGTGCAGTTTCCGTAACCTAAAATATCAACACTTTCATCAACACTTTCACGTGAAGTGGCGTCGTAAAACTCGATGCAAAAGGCGATATTCGCGGTGATATGCAGTAGTCGTGAAATATATTCTTCACATCACGCCATGATGAAACTCCAATATAACCTAATATATTAATTATACGACCAACTTGCTTACTTTTCGATGTACAACTTCCCTCAACACAGTAACCTCAGCCAACGCCTTCGCCTTGTCTTGAGCCATCTTAGCCTTCAAAGCGGCCAGACCGTCGGGTAAGGTACACTTCTTATCTTCCTTCTCAGTAGAACGGGTCGACAAATGCGACGATTTATCATCTTCCTTATCTGAAAAACTCACATTTGATGAGATATCAATCAGTTTGCTTTCCTCACTAAATTCATATTGTCACCAACACAAGTAGTTGAGTATGCGTGCATATTTACCCACTCACCCTTATTCCTCTTTTCTTCCCTTCTTGAGCTCTCAGGTTGTCTTCCCCGTCGATCGCTACGACCATCATCGTGTCGTGTACGTCTTCGTTGACTTATATGTCTATCATCATCATAATACCTCCCTCTGTGAGGAGAGTGATGCCTCCTAATCTTACGGGAAGAGGACGAATAGTAGTGCTCGCTTGGCTCTCTATAGCGTTTGCCGTAGTAGTAGTCATGCCCTGCTGAGTCCACGAAGCGATCATCGCAACGGCGGGGACGGGAGCTTCCACGACGGTGTGTCGAGGGGGACGGCATTGCCACTTTCCTTAACAGAGAGTGAAATCAGAAACGAACTAACTCACCGAAGATGAATCTTATTAATTCTACTACAATTATTACAACTATAATTGTCGTGATAGTTACTATTTCAATACAACTATAAGAGTCTTACCACAACTATAGCCATTGGTCGTATTCATAGCCTCCTGGGAAATCCAGACTCAACCTAGTTGAATAAGAGAACGAGTGAAAGTGAAAGAAAATGGATAAATCGATAAAGGGATGAGCTCACGTACTTTCAACGGCATCAGGACAATCACATTTGAAGTATCTGCAGATACTTGAGATAAGAAACTCTTTTGGGGCTACAACTTGACCTATTTTGCATCTTACCACGTCAACCTCAAGATTCTCTACAACCCAATCATCGCATCATCTCCAAAGACATTAGAGAGACGCCAATCCTGAACAAGAAAGAAGTATTGAAGCAGTAGCACGCAGCGAAGGATCGCACGAGACAACAGATCAAAAATTGAGGAAATGCAAGATTTACTAAGAACGCAAGATGACTTAGTTCCTTGCATGGTTACCACAGTTGACAATGGTCAAATCGAAACACAGTTCAAGAGCAAGACATATACAATGAAGGGTAAGGGGAACTGTAAACCATTCATCGGAAGATACGTGGCAGAGTACTTGTTGCAGGGTAGATGTGTTATCTCGCTCGCCCATGATTTATGAAACGCATAGATATTCGGGCGAGCCATGATGGCTCCTCTACTAAGGCTCATCCCTGAGGGATATCAAGAACCGGCGCCTCGCTCAGTAAGACAGATTAAGTTATTTGTTGTTTGGCATGACTGGGTGTATCATGTTCTGTGATAATTCGATTTCAATAAAGTAGCGGCTCCCAAGTGTTATAAGGTTCAGCTCCTTAGCTTCCTACTCAAGGAGTTTTCGTAGATCCTTGGGGTCTGAGTAAGAACACCTCCGAGGAATCCTAACGCTCCTTGTCTTTTAGCTCTCAGCTCCTCTAAGGATCTTACGCCCCTTATTTAAGAAAGGTTCCCTGAGTCACAGGGCCATCGTAGTGTACCGTCTGGGGAGCAACGCCTCTACTTAATGACATGTATGCAATGTTGTGAAGATGGATTCTCGATTTTTAACACTCTCTTGGTGTTCATGTTATTTATTCTATGGTTTGTATTCATCTCCCTCGCGTACTATCCCGATTCACGTCGGTTCACACCAGTATATCATACGCTCATGCATTGACAATGCATGAGCCTATGATATACATCATATCGTTGTAACGAATAGTGTATCAATAAATCATGTTCCAACTCTCAGTGGTTGACGCGAAATTAAATTTTTAGACTATATTCCAAATAAATTTGGAGCACTGTACAATGTATGAAGCGAGCAGGTCTTGATCTAGAGTCTAGATTATCGACTTTCGGACCCGCATGGAAGATGCTTCTACCTCATTATCGCTTCGTAGAGCACAATGCGTCTCTATCAGGTGAAGGAATCCATTACCTAAACTTACGATGAAGATAGTCTTAGATCGATTAAGTACACTCAGACCTTGTAAGGCACTCACCAGCAATCATATCCAGTGTAGTGTTATCTCAATGGGCAAATCACTAACTCTCGATCACTAGACCATGTAGTGATTGGCTCCCGTGAGATGACATTAGATTATCACGGCATCGCACCGGCGGGAGATAGGACAACTCTGTAATCTGTAAGCATAGCCCTTCAACATGCCTTGTCCCTTTGCCTACCTTCCTGCATGCGCAGCCGGAATATTTGGAGGAGCTGGAGTGTTGGCAGCAGTAGACCACAACTACTGGACTTACTCTGCAACCATGAGTGTTATCGGGTATGCGTCACGATCATCGTCATCGCCAACAACTTGCCGCATCTTAGGTCCGCTCCTCTGCTGATATTAGCCTATAGGGACTTCGCCGCTGGCACGTGGAGATCCAATCGGCGTTCGGTTGCCTATCTGGCTGCAGGAAGCGTCAGCCTGGTGATGGGAGCGTATCTTCTAGTCAGGAAGCCGTGGTTGCGCACGGCGAAGATTTCGCAAAATGATACTCGATGATGATACGGGGGCGCGTTCTCGCATGACGTTTCGGTTTATTTTTATTCGCTATGTTGTCGCGTTGCTGAATACGTTGGGAAGACTCCTCAAAGCCTTTGAGTCAAAGGTGGTTTACAATGTAGACTTCACGTTGTCATAAAGATCTCCTTTACCTCCTTTTAGGTTGAGTCTGACCTCCTGTTGGCGAGTACAACAGGAATCTGCGTGTTCTATACGTGGTTGAAGCTATTTCCAGGAACCTTATTTTCTAGTTAGTGACAACAAGTTGGTCACCAACTGTTGGTGGCACCAACAACTTGGTGGTCTAAAAAAGATATAGTACTTTAGTACCCAATGGGTACTACTTATGCATCTTCATGTGGTATTACCGTTTAACACGTTACTACTCGATGGGCGAGCGATATACTGATATACAAGATACAGTGAGCACAGCTATGGTAACGCGAAATACAGTATTTCAAATACTGGGTACATTTTGTCTCTCTGTCGATTAGGCTCCTCGTCAATATACCCCTCAATAGACCATATCTGAATTACATCCTAATCCAAGACGCTGATTCAAAGCGAGAAATCATTCGAGCGCTACCTCCTCGAGGTACCACAACTCATACCTGAGCTGTAGTCAGGTAACCTCTTGAGCTCCTCTCGAGGCACTCAGGAGAGTCCCTGTTAACAAAATGACAATTCGGGTTTTCAGGTTTGTGAAATACCGTAGCAAAATTACATTAAATACCATAATATAAAAGACAAATCAACCATAAGAGTCAACAGGTCTCCGTGCACTGCGCCGAACCGCACAGTGTTCAACAGAATACCAGTGGCTCTGATCATGATTGTCATGATGGGCCATCATTGATGGCAATGGTTGTGTTCACTGGCCGTGAACATTATCATTATGATGTCAAGCCAGTAGTCGCGTTCACGGGACCTAGTCGAGCGGAGCTTGATGCGCATCGACTCGTGCTCCTTCAGTTGATGAATTAAGGATCGTACATGCGAACGGCGATGACCCATGAGACACCTCAGGGCACCGTGCAGCGCCTCGGCAGCGTTGTTGGTCCTATGTCGCATGCCCACTAGAGCTTCCCAGTATTTATATACAAATTACTGCTCCCTATTATACTTGACAAGTTTTAGAACAAGTTCTCTCCAACTATGACAACGTTTGCGTTTGGACCTTGATTTCGACGCCTGTGAGGTCTCGACTTTTGAAGTACTGAGTACTTAGTACTCTTCTCATCAGTATCAACAGACAAACCGGCTGCCACGATGGAACTAAGCAATGAAGGATATCTATCTCTGCGAAATAGATCAGGAGGGGTCAACGCTCCATTGGCTTCCGAAAGGCAGCCATAGAAACGTCGTCTGTAGGCCTTATCATACTCGTAACCCAACACCACTCCGCGAGAGGCCATCCTGTTACCATAGACCATCACCAAGAAAGAGTTCAAGATAAAGTGATCCGCTCGCACTTGGGAACCGATCAACAATAACGCAGTTGCATATCTCATAAAACAAGAACGCCTTTTTAATTGATTGATATTCTGACAGTCGCGGAAAAAACAGCACCCGTCTTCGACTGCCTTCTAGTCTAGATAATAATCATAATATCGCATTACGATTAGGAACTGCTATCGAAAAGAGACTAGCGTCAACTTCAGCTTAACTAGCTTGCCTTTTCTAAGTTGACACAGTCCTTAGTTGAGTAGTTCAGCTTGAGTGGAACAGCACTCGGATATACTGCTGATTAGTAACTGATCCAGACCATTCCCGGAAATATCCAGCAATTATTGCTGAACAATGAATTGAATAAGCCTAATTCTATTCATTGTTCAGCAATAATTTAGCTGGTGAGCTAACTCAATTAGTTCAAAATTTTCACGAAAGACAGTAGGATCGGCTCCATTCGGACTAGCCGGAGGCAGAGTCTGCCTGGCAGACCGATATCCCCCAGACTAGAGATCGTAGACGGCTGCAATCTAAATTTGCTGAATCTTGATTTTTGTACGGACCCCTCTCGCATTACTCACTAGCAACTCTAGTGCATTCAGTCACTAGAGCTTCATCGATGCTATCGTACCGACTATAATGTAAGTCATAGGTACGCGGCATAACTTACACATTACGTAACGTAATTTACGTTTGAGCTCCATTAGAAAGTCGAACGCTTCCCACGATGAAGTCCAGGACATGCCTTTTCTCCATCGGCGTAGTAGCTCGAACAGGGCCTCAGCAGGTTGGCCGAGCGCCAGTATCTCGAAAACTTTTACCAAATCGTCGTAGCCTTCCACAGCGGTCGTGAGCACTCTAGTCGGCAACTGAGGAGAATTCTACAGTCTAGCAGTACTCCTCGTATCTTCGTTATAGTACCATACATCAAGAATCTTGATCTTCATTGATGACCATTCCTTCACCACGTCGATCATCAGTGGGAAGAACTGGATGTCTACGTTTCTAGATGTGCACATTTCTCTGAACTGGGGTCCCAAGAGCTTATTCAGGAGACTTTCCAACCTCGCAAAGCCGCCAGCCGTGTGCGATGCAGTACCTGATCACAGAGAGGCTTGCGTGGAATAGTAATCAGCAGGTTCTTCCCATCCGAAGCCATTTCACCTGGCTGTGCCATCGGAAGATCCCCTACGAGCGAGCTTGGTACAGTCCAGCACCACGCAGATTGAATGCCCGCGAACTCCTGACGAAACGGTCCCAATAATCATGAATCGCAAAGGCGTCACTTGATTTATCCTTAGATTCCTCACTCCTGACCGGACGACCTGGCATCAGAGGTCAAAAAAGGCTGGTAGTATCGAATCCACGACGCCGGAAAAGCGAGTGAAGTCATTGAACACTCAAACACAGTGAGCTACATGTTCGAACTAACATGCATAAAGACAGCTCTGATGGAAAATCTTCATTCTTCACTCTGCTTCTTGCCACGTAGATGCATCAAGCGATAATTTAGCCTCTCACGGCGACGCAGTATCATACCGAGGCAGGTGAGGCGGCTGACTATTCTCTCCTCGAAACTCTTCTGCAAGCTTGCGTTGGCGTTTCCTGTAAGAGGGGCAGACCTGTAGCGCTCTCGAGCGAGGATACCTGGCAGATAAAAATGGTCTGTAGAAAATCATTCGAGACTGTTTACTCTCACGCAGCCACGAGCTGGAGCTCCCGGAGCTTTCAGGTCTCTATATCCGGGAGCATCGGATGCCAATTTATGCTCCAATGTATGCCAGTGGCTAGACCATTGTGCCACGTTGTTTCCTTGTCCCCCAATTTTCGGTCCGAACACAATTGTCCCTACGTGCTAAGGTGCTGCCAAGCTAGAGCTATTAGGAGCGTATACGTAGTTCGTAATCATAGTTGTAACATAACGTATTCCGATACGTTCTACTCTATTGTACGTCGGCTCTCGTACAAGGCTATCTCTGCTCACTTGTCGTGTATTGAGTTCCATTATTAGGAGGTTACTATCCCTACACCGACTTCTCCCTATAGGAGCCTGCCTAGGCGGAAACTTGCGCGCGCGCCCATAATTCATTGCGCGCATTCTGTTTCTCTTCGATTTCGGACTCATAATCGTCGAATTATGCCAATCGATTGGGGTCAATCGTCGATGATTAGTAAAGTGTAGGGCGATTCTCGATCTGGTGCACGTGGAGCCAACCTGCAAACTAGTCGGAGCTCTGAGTCACTCGTACCAGCTCGAATAGGTCCCTGATAGTCTGTTTCTCTCGTAGTTCGTTTCTAAGGCGTAGGCGAGAAATTGTGGCGAGCGAGCATTTTTTTGTGGCGGCAGAGGGAAAATTGTGGCAGAAGGGAAAGAATTAATAAGGATAAAGGAATCTGGCACAGCCATGAAAGTGCGTTGTTAGTAGCGCGCGCCCAGCTAATCGATCTCTTTCTGCGAAAGTGGAAGATACAATTCATATTTCCGGAGACCCCGATGGCTCTACTTCGGAGGTACCTGTCTAGATGGCTGACTCCACTACTCTGCATCTTCCAACAATATCTCTATCTTGTCGCTTCCAACCTCGGATGCTTTTTTAATATCCTTTGCGAGGGATCTAGCAAGAGGGAGGAGGGTAGTGGTGAGCTGCCGCCCTTATCGGTGAGCCTTATGGAGATGCCCTTATGGTTGGACATCGCGATCTCAGAGAGGTACGGTATAATTGTAGGAATTGAGGAAAAATGGTATCGGATTCGCCCTATTGCTCAACCATAGTTCGCCTGGGACTCTGTAGCCGTACTGGTTATTGTATGTTATCTCGATGGTTTATATAACGGCAAGAATCAGTGCGAGAATATATACACATGGTCAACTACATGTGTTGCTAGCAATATGGAAATTTTGAGGAAATTTTGCGAAATTATCGTTGATTTTTTAATACTTATACCCAAAATCGTGTGATTTTTCATAAAATAGTGAGGAAACCTACGAGCTCAGTCGAGGAAACCAAACATATATTCTCATACTGGCAAAAACGGTGTTGAGATATATGCTAGCTTCGTTTGATTGTAGTAGAACTCAACAGAAAAAAAATCAAGAAATTCCTAAAATTTCCATATTGTCACCAACACATGTAATCGATCTTATTTTCCCGCACCGATTTGAACGTTTTCAATCTCATTAACCCTCGTCACGGAAGGAAATGTTGTTTTTAACCATCCGAATGGGAAATGCCTAAGTCCACTTTTCGAGCTTCTCCCTCAGATTGACTTCAACGCTACGACCATTACGAAGCGTGGTAACGGAAGTGCTATGTTCACTATGCGATTTGGTGGTGGCTTTATACGACTTGCAGGAATACATCTCGTTGGTTGTTGATGAAAATGGCCAACGAAAACTGCAGCCCTTCGTGGATAATATGATGTCAGTGTTGGAATATATGTTTGTTTTTTCACAGTTTTTTGATCTGATTATATTTCATACGAACACCAAGAAAAATTTTCAAAAATTTCATCAGAATTTTTATATTAAAAGACAAGCAAGATATGATAATTTTCCCATACTGAAAATTTACCGCTGGTTTGGAATTTACAAGTGTCGGAATATATGTTTGCTTTCCTCAGCTGAGCTCATCACATTTCCTATGATAAAAATATTCGAAAACCCCCAAGAATTTCCGTAAATTTTCTTATAATTTTTCGTATTTTTCCGCAGATACTTTTCCATGTCGTGGATATCATCAGCTAGCGATCCGAGTGGTTCCACTGCTAACCTCACTATGCTTGACATAGTAGCTGGGTGTCGACCGCCAGCGCCGATCTTGCCTGACTTGGCGTATTACAGTTCACTGGTGTCACCGATTCGGGACGAAATACGTAGGTTAGGGGGTGGCGCGAAATATGAGGATGATCGCCTTCTTGTGTTGGTGACAGTATGAAAATTCTGCGAGGAAATTTTGGTTCCTGTACTAATTTGTATGTAAACTTTCCTAATTAGTGAGGAAATTTTCGAGCTGAGGAAAACGGGTATACATTCCAACACTGTGTAGGGCAGGGTGTAGACGTATTTTGAATTGTTATCATACGATGTGGTAAAATGTGTATATGGTCAACTACGTATGTCGGTGATAATATGGGAATTTTAAGGAAGTTTAGGTGAAGTCTTGTTAGCTGATCGCATTCGTATGAATGAAAAAATCAGCAGAATTTGCTGACAATTTCATCACAATTTTCATATTGTCACCAACACACGTCGTTGAGCATGTGCATAATATTTTCCCCCGCACTGTCAGCGGTAGGGTTAGTATTCCGCATGTGAAGTGGTGTAATACTCCATGTGAATTTAAGACGTGTACTGATAACGCAATTGTTCTTAGGGTGAATTGTGTTTTTCACTAGTGTTTTTATATCACTAGGGTGAAACTCCATTATACTCAACCCGTGAGAAAAGCGTCTTGAAATCTATGCATTTCGTGTTGGAATCGACTAGCATATTGGTGGGGAATCTTGAGGTTGAGCATGAAAGATTCAAATTAGGTCAGCTGCATGCCTCATTCCATCCTCTCTGCCACATCGGTGTGGTATCCCCGACTGGCGCCATACCTACATCGATGCGATCCGGCAGCGAGCGGCTTTTGCTAGTAGACTGTAAACGGTATGAGGGAGAACTGGGTGAGAAGGGGGGGGGGGGGGATGTGCGCATGGTCAACTACATGTGCAGGCGTCTTTTGCGGAAATTCTGAAAGGTTCTATACACTTCTTCCCGAAATCGTGGAGTAAGCCACGATGATAAGTGTGCTCAGCTGAGGAAAGCGAACATATATTTTAACACTACCGCATACCATCTCTCCGTCCATTCGCGCAGTGGAATTGGAACGATTTCGTTGAATTATGCAAACAAGTTATTGGGTATAATAAACAATACTAAGGGAAAATTTTAGAAAAAATTCGTATTGATTTCTGTACATTTCTCATTTTTGAATTTTTACATTTCAGAATTTTTGTAATTTTTGTAATATGTGTAATTTGTGTATATTTTTGTAATTTCGGAGGAAAGGCTTCAACTCAGCCGAGGAGAGCAGATATATATTCCTCCAACAGTTTTCGAATGTCGGAGGTCGCAGGTTCGATTCTACCCGAGGACATCAATATTAAAATGCAATTGCGCATCGAGCAGTTGAAACGGTGTATGAATCGATTGGCGAGAAGCTGTGCTGAATTGGACATAGAATTCCACAGGGTAGGGGAGAGGGTGGGAGGGGGACAGGAAGTTTGTGCATGCGTGCAGATTTTTGTGTAATTCACATGGTAGACATTCGGTATGCAAATGTGGAAAATGTGTGTTATCCTACGAGATTAATAAAAGTCGTTCTGGGACTATATCGCGTGAACAATGTGAACATTGCTATGAACATGTGATGTGATAAAAGTAACATTTCGAGACTATGATAGCGACAAGTTGTTCACTATCATTAATTCCGAAATAGTAAACGCAAATTCTTCGCATTTGCATAAGCTCGAATTGGCACGCACTGTATTGTTATAATACAGTCTATCTACTCTGTGAGTAACATGACCAGGGCCAACATATCTTCCGTGAAACCGTTACCCAGTTTTGTGAAATATGCTCGCTTCATCAGTTTCATCACCAATCACGGGAGTTTATACTGTATGCCAATTGGGAGAATATACGCGAAAACTGTACAGAAACTAACAAAGTTTCGATATTGTCACCAACACGTGTGGAAATCTTATCACGCTGGCGTTACCTATTCGGATGCCCATGATCGCCGGGAATTATATCTAAACTACTGATCCATCGCTGCGGTATGACCAATGGATCGGCAGCTTACCACACTTATTTCACTTCACCGAAGCGATACGCATATATACGGGGAGGAACATCATCCTGGCAACATAGATTCCGTGATACTTCTCGGATTTCCATGAGGGGGGATATGTACAGAGCCAACAGGGGAGTGTGCAGGAGCAGTAGCTGCCTTGTTGGAAGAGAAATCGAAAATTTAGTGATTCGTTCGAGGAAAGGTAGCACGATTCTTACATGTGTTGGTGACAATGTGAAAATTCTGACGAAATTTTTGGGAAAATCTCATTGGTTTCTGTACACTTCTACCCGAATTCGTATGTTTACTTGTATAGTAAGTGAGGAAACTCCTGAACTTTGCTGAGGTAAGCGAACATATGTTCCAAAACCGCTTAATTGCTCCTCCAGCCCGAGAGGGAAACACGGTATGGTTTCTTGGCGGAGAAGTGCCCCAGCTGGGGATCGTACCATGATCCCTAGTGAGAAGACCCTCGAGGCCAGCGGGAAATAGCAGATGTGTTGATGAAAATGAGTGCTGCAGTGATAGAACTGTAGACTCCAGGGACTGCTGTAGGGAGGTGGAGCACTCCAGCAAAGACGTAACAGTATATTAATATTAAAAGGTATACCAATATTAACTACACATACAAGATAGATTTATATATAGCCATTTACTAATTATTTTTTTATATGAAGGGAGGGTCTGGGGGCCTACTTTCTCATCGCGCAAGAATCGCGGCAAATCGCAATAGATAGTGTCATTCACGACTGGTGAATCCCCAGGGTTCTAATCTGCGGCTATACTCTAATACTGGCAACTACGCCCGGTTGAATGGTGCCGCTTAAGAAGAATTATTTATATATTATATACAATATTACGTTACTCTTTACTATATTATAAATGGCTAGATCTCCATAGACAAGCACGTATATAGACCCCTCTACGGGGGTGGCATCCGCCTAGCAAGGACAGCTCCTCGGATGTGTGATAACTCCCCTAGTTCGGGGAAGTATCATGTATATATGGGCATTACATATGTTCATTGCTCCAAACCAATTTGGAATATACTCAAAATAATGATTTGTCGAAACCTAGCGCCAGTGAGAACCCCAGTTTGTCACACGATATATCTCACCCTAGGACAAGTATCAGTTCGGGCTCGGTGACGCGCAACAGCTTCCTTGCGTGCTTAGAATGCTCGCGCGGCGGTTGGGGCCATGTAGATGTCCCATATGCGATCGATTCAGTCGTTTGTCGCAGACGGGTAGCACTCCCCCCCCCCCCCAAATGCTACTTGAGCCTCCTAGATGACGAACTGCTAGAAACGTGTTTTTAATTGTACTGCCGAGATCCACAGCAGAATAATATTTTTTCGTATCCTCTTGTTACCCCTGATACTGTGAAACGAGGCATTTGACTCCGTTGTGACTAATTATCGGGTAGCTTCATTTCGCTAACTCATCCTCTTGCGGAACTCAGACATTGGCTTTCGGACTCCAGGTTTGAGGTCAATATCTCTGCCATCGTCAACGTCTATGACCAAGTGATACCACATTTCTTTCATTTCTCAGAGTGACTTCCTCCTACAGTACATGCACAACTGTAAACAATCGTTTAGAGTTTATGGCGGCTACGCCATTAAGGAGGTGCGGTCTTTGCAATTAGATGAATATCAAACTCGCAATGTAAGCGGCGTTGAGGAAATGTAAGGGAGAGCAAGATGAGCAAGATTTGCCTCAATCAGGACTGGTCACGGATCCTACATCAAGCTAGTTCGTCCGAAGACGCCGTGTTCAAATCGAGAAGTGGCGGAAAGATGGTATCAGGAATGTATCGTGTTTTGGTATTCTCTTCGACTGTCATGCGACTGGCCTCGTTGGTCGAGTTTGCTGTGGGAGAGTGTGAGCGAGCCTATGAGGTGATAACAGTCATCTTGCAATCTTGCATTTCCTCAACGCAGTGGTATTAGTTCCATAATCCGAGTTCGGCTGGCAATAAGAAGACTGCTAAGGAGGGGGATGGTATCTGGCCGGGGTCGAAGACGAAGAGCGACTGTTTTGCATGGGCGCAGGTGAATTAGTCTATCTCTGATATCATGATGTATATAATATTTATTAGTTAGATAGATATATCGTATATATAGCTATTAATAATCCATGTAGTATTATAATATAAACTATTTGCTATATTTGATCATCAGTGTGTGGGAGAATAAACACATGCTCAACTACATGTGTTGGTGATGACAATATGAATTTTTGGAGGAAATTTTGGAAAAGTGTTATTGATTTCTGTACACTCCCAGTGTGGGAAAAATGCACATGGTCAACTACATGTGTTGGTGACAATATGAATTTTTTGAGGAAATTTCTTGTTGTCTTCTGTACACATTTACCATAATTCTTATAACTATTGAAGAAGTTCTGAGGAACTGCGACACAGATTGGAAAATCTTCGCTGTGCGTGATTCTTTTTTTTCCTATGCAGAGTGTAGCTGTACGAGCTCTCACGGGGTCGGCGCTCGATCGGGCCGTTGGTGACTTTTGCGTCAAGGCGATTCGGTCGGCTGATTTCCCGTTGAACTCATGGGAAGAGGGTGAGGAAAGTGTGCTTCGCTCCGCTGTAAAATATCTTTATTTTTGTCAGTTGGTGATTTGGCAAGGTGCATTGACCGCCTTCTTTCGGACGAGTGGATTGACTTGTTGCTCCCGCCTGGGACGTGTCGAATTGAGTGTGGATTCTAGAGGCATCTTGCAATCTTGCATTTCCTCAACGCTGTTTAGGTATACTGATTTCCGAGAGAAGGGCTATATAGAGGTCTTGATGAAAGCACTGAAGGAGTTGAAGAGAAGCATCGATGAGGTTATTGAGGCGTCGAAGGAAACGGGCGGATTGCCGGCGGAGCGACGCACGAGAAATGTAAATCCTTACGTGATTCCCTAAGCATGCTCGAATATTGAATGTTCATGGATTTACCTGCTGTGTGAACCTTTACCCTTATTGTTAACCTCACATGAAAGATTCTTGTGAGTGGTTTTTCGATGAGAAAAGTTGTCTTTGATACCGTGTGAAAACTGCGCCAGTGTGTGCAAAAAAATTTTCCATACTGAGTAGCAAAATATGTGTATGGTTGGTGACAATATGAAAATTTTGGGGAAATTTCGGGCAATTCTCATCAATTTCTGCACATTTTCATCCGAATTCGTATGCAAGTTTTGTGATCAGTAAGGAAATCATAGTATTGCTCTTATGTTTTTTGACGCATTTACCAGCCTGTGGGGGAAAAATCCAGTTATGGAGAATCTTAAGAGGTGTGGCCCTCAGAAGGATACTGTGGGACTCGCATGACCATACACACTAAAGACCCCCAGAGGCTGCTGGGCTCAAAAGGCAGAACGTCAATACTATTCGTATGTGCTATAAATAAATAGCACAGTAACTCTTGAGTTCAGCTCAGGACAGTGACCATATATTCCTCCAACACTGTTGTCATTCAGGCGATACAAGCCGTGTGGCGTCAACTAACACGCGCCCATGTGGAAGGTTATCTCGATCATTTCGGTTCGTTCATGGCACAATACGCAGCTATGGTTCAGACGCCCCTTAGTGAATGCCTTGAAAGGTTGGTCGGTGGGTATAGGAGAATATTAAATGTTCAATTCATTGCGAACTGCCAATGGAATGCCTTATGATTCTTTCATGCGGCTAGCTACTCTACAGCTAATTATCTGCAATTAGAGCGTTTCATCTACCGTCCATTTTCGTGATATTTTGCTTTTGAGTTTTTTGTCCGTACATGAGTTTGGTGTTTTTTCTCTCGACGATTATGTTGATTAAATCTGATTTGTGTATTCTAAATAAGAATACATGTTAGTGACCATATACTTTCTAGAATGTTGGATATTCATAACGCGAAGTAGTTTTCAAGCGATCCTTTGCATAATTTGTATACAATTTGTATTCGATTTGATTGATTTGATAATTTGAAGAGATTTTATATTATTATATTATATTTAATGATTTATGTATTTGATAATTTGATTTATTTGATAATATTTGTATTTGCATACAATTTTTTCGTATGTTTTATTCATAATTTTTCCCATGTAGTAATCGCATGAGCTCCCAGAGTAGGTTTATTTTCAGGTCGTTCGGTCAGGAGGTGCGTGTCGATCTACCGGCGATGAATTTATATCCTTTGTATGCCTCGGGACCTTGTCTGAGGTTGGTGGAGATCCAATCAGCAAAGCCTAGCGAGTGCTAGTCGTTAGCTGTCTCTGTGTGTCTGGACAGATGGTGAAGTTGTGTTGGCTAGTTCATAATGAACCCTTATTTGTGAAAGACCATTGGGGCATGAAAGATATCTTTATGTAGGATACAAAATGATGTGGATATACGAGCCAATTCAATAGACTAAATGATCCCTTGTGAGCCAATGGGCTAATATAACTAAGCCGTGTTGTCGGCGCCGCCGACTTGGCGGTGGAGTTTGAATCCACACGTATGATTTACAAACTGTGTGATTGATACCCCTCATGCGGGGGACCTTTCACACGGGAAAATGTGGACATATTCAACTACGTGTTGGTGATATGAAAATTTTAGGAATTTTTCGTTGGTTTCTGAATACTTCTCGATTTCGTATGTAAACTACCAAGCTCAGTTGAGGAAAGCGAATGCCTATTCCAACACGGCGTGTAACCTGCATAGTAGACGGGCATAATTGTTTTCTCGGCTGAAACTTTTTTGGCGGGTGTTATATGCTGTAATCAGGCAGTAGTCGAGCATCATGTCTCTGTAGCTGAATCACTCTGTGTGCACCATTGTGATCTTAGCATTTCTCCTCATCTATATAATGTAAGTAACTGAGAATGGTTATCCTTGCACTCTTGAAGTTATTTGTGCGGCACAAATTGTGCCCTTGAGCCATTAGCCTGATTACAGCATATAACACGAGAAAGGGTATAGTTGTGTCTCTGTGGAAGCGCTGGTGTTACCAATCGGCACTTCGTCATAACGAGTGTTATCTTTTATTATCACAAAAGCGTTTGAGTTGGTCATAGGGAGTTGATACTTTCTGAGAACCCAACAAGTTACGGTATGGAAAGTTGTTGATTATACTGTGATAATAGGAGTAGCGGTGGTAACAACTGTCGTTGGCGTCCATACAAACTCCATATTGGGAATATATTCAATACGAAAGGCGAATGCTAAACAACCAAGGAAGAGTCCACATAGTGAGCCGACCAGGACCTGCTCGACGGTGTGGTCCCACGTATACCATCTTGCCCAAGGAACCTGACAACGTAGCGTTAATAATCATACTCCTTACGCGCTGTTAATATTGTAAAAAAGTATTTCTTTCGTGCTGTAGTAGTCTACGATGGAGACTATAGCTTCGCAGTAACGCACATGTGCATGCGTGCAACTCATCAACTACAGTGCGTTCCGAGACACGTCACATCTCAGGAAGAATGTGGGAATAGAGGCTTTTTGGTCGACTTTCAAATTTAGGCGCTCTTACTGTTAGTTATGGAAACCTAGAAGCCCTGCGTTTGTACGAAGTTATCAACCTATTCACTGGGTCAAACAGACGCTTATTATTGAGATAGAGCATTTAAAAAATTACATTTTTTTCCACGGCTAACACCGCGGTTAATGAGTTATCGAGTTGCGAAAGATACATATACTTTTCTCAACTGATAATTCATCACAGTACTTGATATACCTAGTCAATACAAACAACAGATCGTCATATTCAGCGAACTAACGGGTCTAATTGTGAACGGTTAGACTGCCGAACACATTCCGAACGAATTCTATACACTACCAACAAAGCAAGGAGTCGTAAACCACAAAAACTCAGAATCGTCAATCAGCATTGATGAACCACTCCTTCTACTTACAGGACCAAAAACGACGAGTATTATAAGTATCCGGATGAGCATCTCCTGGACGTTTCCAGATGTGCTCGCTCCTCCACTGCTAAGGAACAGGGCGGTAGACTCTAAGAAAAACCATGTACCTAAAATAAGAAAAGTCTATAACTCACTTTCTGAAAATGTTGGAAATTTCATCGATTTTTTGGTAGAAAAGCTCGCCACCTTCCTACTTCAGAGAAACGCCTCGAAATTGATTTGACGAAAAAATTGCAGCTGGTAAAGTTGCATAAACGTCTTACATAACACTCCTGAGGTAATGCAATGACCGCTAGGCATGCCTGGGCCTTCACAGGCACTCTGAGGCGGCCGAGCCTGCCCGAATAGCCGCTTGAAGAGCCCCTCATTGACGAATGATGTTATCAATAACACGACCTAAGGGTATACCAATAACGATGTAGCGGAAATGTGGTATGTACACAGGCGTAGATATATACAGCTCTCCGTGTTGTCAACATCAATATTGTCAAAGTCGCTGGTACGATCCACGGTATGAAGCCGATAAGCTCAGCCAAAGTCAGCAGAGGAGGAGCGGGAATTCGAATGGTCACTTGGCCCAGCGCGAATACTGAACGGTAATTGAGGTTATCTGAAACATAAAGAATCTTAAAGAGATATTTCAGCATGAGAAGAAATGATGCACATGGTCAACTACATGTGTTGATGGTATTATAAAAAATGTGATGAAATTTTGGGAGACTATTGTTGCTTCCCGTACAATTCTACCCAAATTCGTACTATAATTATCGAGGAAACTCCTGAGCTCAGCAGCTGAGGAGAGCGATTACATATATTCCTACTCCAACACTGTATAGGAAACTCCTGAGCTCAGCTGCTGAGGAAAGCGAACATATACATTCCTCCAACACTAAGAAATTTCTCAAGAATCTTGAGGTCGAGCGATGAAGATACAAATCTGGTCTACAGAGGTTCATAATAATCCCAAAAAGTAAAAATAAAATTTTCTCAAAAAAGTTGAGGAAATATAATAACAACTACAGTGAACACAGCTATGAGTTGATTCTCGAAACCCGATAGAAAAAATGAGAAAATTTTATTTTTTTTTCTTTTCCAACGCTGAAGTGCAGGCTATTCTGAGGCCATCGAATGGAAAAAGTTGGAAAAACCATCGTCTCGCCAAAAATGTGTCAATGAAAATACCAATAAAACGATTTTTATCGATAAAAACAAGAAGCGAAAACCACGACCGAGATACACTATATATCTTCAATTCAACGGTGTTGCAATACCAAAAGTCTCAGCAAAAATGCATATACGTAAAATTAGGAAGTTTTTCACAGTCACGGACTGCCGCACCGCGAAGATTTATTATTATCTCCTCATGCGAAACTACGGTAGAACCTAGTACTGATATTTCTAGCATAATATAGATCTTACTAATTCTTATATTCTATTCAACATATATTGGAGTTTCACCACCCTAGTGATATGAAAAACACTAGTGAAAAACATGTTTTACGACTACTGCAGGCCGCGAATATCGCGTTTTTCACCGAGTTTTACGACGCCACTTCACGTAAAACGGGTGGTGAAACTCCACTTTTCTTATTATTTTTCTAGCACCATATAATTCTCTATATCGATATATAGCAGCTAGCTATGATCTCTCTAGTAGAGAGTGTGGGAAAGTATGGTGGACCACATATGTTGGTGACAATATGGAAATTCTGAGGAAAATTTCCGCAATTCTTGCGGGTTCCTGTACATTTCTACCCTAGTTTGTATATGAACTCCTATAGTTAGTGAGGAAACTCCTAGGGTCAACTACGGAAAGCGAACATATATTACAACACTGCTCTTTACGGGTGCACTCCTACCTCTGGCATACCATAATTCTCACTAATCCTTATATACTATTCTTACTATAATTCTCCACCGCTACGATTTTCCCATTTTTCCATCAGAATTACCAGGATGCTCCTTCCCCCTCAACACTGTATCCTCTAGGCCCATAGGCCTCCCCTCCGGAGCTGCCTCTAAATCAACGACTTCAAGCGGAGCGTAGTTGATGACTGCTTGTCGTGATGCTGGAAGAACTCCCAACTCCACATCTGACGATGCCATTACTGTGGTAGAATCTATGGAGGGGAAAACTGGTTTTCCTGAGAAATTCCGAGTTGTTAACGAAGTCTCAAAATAGAAGAGTACATGGCCAGAACACACCACGAGAAAAGGAGGATCCACGCTTACACTCATACTATACAACAGTGTTGAAGTAGGAATATATGTAATCGCTTTCCTCACCTGCTGAGCTCAGGAGTTTCCTCACTAATTATAGGAGTTTATATACGAATTAGGGTAGAAGTGTACAGAAATCAACGCGAAATTCCTCACAATTTTCATATTGTCACCAACACATGTAGTTGACCATTTGTGCATATTTTCCCCCACACTGCTATACAGTGTAGTCTACACTGTGTTCTTCAAACGAATAAGAATAACTTTCTCGATGCGAAAACACCAGCGGCTCTCTATGGACAGAAAGGTTCATCGGCATACACTTTGTTGTTGACTATTGCATTTTTCAAGATATGCTCAAGTCCAACAAGTATATGGCAGCTTGCGTGCTCATTAATACTAGCGCCCGCCCGATTCCTCCAAGTGAAACGGTCCTTAATAACGAGCAATACATTCCGAATGTTCATGTCATGATGATTTGTTGTACTCGCATGACTCGGTGTATCATGCTTCATGATAATTGTACTTTCCGAACATTCCGGGTGTTCGATAAAGCTATAGTCAAACCCAGGAGCTCTCAAGAGAGCGGGAGAGTCTTCCAGCGGGATCGTGGCTGATGGTGAACTCTTTAACCTTCACACTGTAGTACAGGTAATACTACGTACCATTGTTCAGCCCGTCTCTTTGAGAGCTCTGTTTATTTGTTCGACTGGTAAAGGTTGATGGTCAACGTTTCGCTTGTGACTCGTATAGTCTACCATATCAAACGTGTATAATTCTGTTTCCACTCGAAAACGCGTTCAATGAACTCCGATTATGATTAAACTATCGCGTGTTCCTGCTCTAAGGCTTCGTCTCCCTACATCCTCGCGGTCTTCGTCCAGTGTGTGCTCATTAGTACTCAGTAGAGCCCGCCCGATTTTTCGTGTAACTGTAGGGATATCCATACAGTACTTCGATAATACCCAAGATTATTGCGCTTTGATTGGTATAGGTTCGTCGTCCTTTGAGTCGGCAAGAAGATGGTGTCGAGAAATACTGAGGATTCCACAAGGGTCTGTACTAGCCTCGAGAGCTCAAGGTCCGTAAGGAGAACAAGTAAGCCCAATAAGTGTTCGGGAACTCTACTAAAACAAATGGTTATTGAACAACTCGGTGAAGGAATCCTTATGAAATTTCATAAGGATTCCCAAAGAGAAAAAATGCATGTCCAGACGCTGTCACTAAACTTGATGTCCTAGTCAAGGACACCAAGCGACACCAAATAGTGATCTAAGATTCACTGTTTGGTGTCACGCGGCGATAAAAGTAGTGCGGCTTGATCTTGCTATTTTGATCAACTTAGTATAGATGTGTACGTAACATATTGAGGATTATGAGGCATCGCAGCGGATCGTATGCGTGCGGTGTTGGTGTTTATGCGTGCTCCCCCAATCGTTGGGACGTATGCGTGCTCTTGATCGATCATATGATATTGAGATCGAGTAATAAGAGGATGAACCCTCGTTAGTTTCCCTATTGAATACTTGTTTACTTCTATTGTCAATCTCCAATATTCCTACGTAAGCACATAGAGAACCTACGCCCCACATTGACGCCTAGTATACTGCTGCACTACCTCAATCCACTCTGTATCGAGTTCTACGAGTGATACATCGACAATTTTATCAACATCGCGTCCCTCGCTCTACTGTTTGGCTGTCTGCGGGCTGAGCATCTGAGCGCCAACTCAGTTTTTAACCATAGGACTGCGACAAGGCTCTTAGGACGGCTGGATGGGGGAGAGAGTTGATGAACTCTCTCAATTGAAATTATTAGTCTTCAAGCTTACTTTCGGGTGAGGCTCGATCATTTAGATATTCTAAAAATACGAAGAATTCGATAATACGGACGGCGTGATTCTAAATCAGAATAGAAGATTAGAAGATGAGTGATAGAGTTAATATAGTGAGAAATAGTTAACGTAGATATAGTTGATAATACTGCACTGGTGATGTCAGTATATACATCACCATCATAGTTTGAAGGGTATCAACAGGGTTCCTACCAGCATAATCGATATCATCAAAAGCTCGAGTAACCATGTGCGCAGCAGCACAGACATACCTCGTGAAAGCAAGGTCGTCACCAATAATAATTTCAACCGTATCTCTTTCTCGGATAAGATGCCACATGGTTACCACACCATAATAGGCCACAGGCATCTTCCGGAGTTTCTGACCAGCCAGCAGCATCCGAGCTCTCGCTCGCCAAGAATTCCCTTACGTTTTCCGACGACGATTCTATCGGGGACTCATTTCAGCGCTTACCTGTTGAGTTGTTATAGCTCCCGATCCACACGATGAAACCAATGTGCAGAAGTGATGCGTTTTATCAATGGGCTCGACATGCTCTAGACATCTCCTCCAGAGTCATGATAAAACAAGGGTAGGCGCAGATGTGTTCACGATGCGGACCTCATCCGTATCCAACTCGAGCAACCTCAGGATATTCTCTGCGACAATGAAGCCGCTGATATACGTGATTATTACATACTTGGAAACAAAATAGGCGAGGGGGCCTATGGACAGGTTAGTCGGCAGTTCGTTGCTGCCACGCTCACTGGAACTACTACGAAGGTGAGGGAGTGTCACTGTATGGAAACCGGAGAGCTCTATGCAGTGAAGATCCTGCCTGTGCAAAGGCCTGATAGATCATACAACATGGTGGGATAGAACCTGTGCGGGATTGGGGGTACCAGGTATAGCAAGGTACGAGCCGTAGTTGCTAATGAAGTTAGTGTGCTGCGGAAGCTCAACCACCCGAATGTATGCAAGTGAGTTGAAAAGTCGACGTATCCTTGTGCCATGAGGAACAAAGATAGCGTTGACGTTATCGTCAGACCACGGGAATTCTTCCAAGATGAATACTTCTACTATCAAGTCATGCAAATGTACGGACCACCAGTTTTAGCTGGCCTCAACGCGAAGTGGGCAAAAGCGGACCTATTCTGTATCTTCCATCCCTCAACCTTAGATTCGCCTCCAAGGAACAGCTCCATAGCTCACCAGAACCTCTCATCCATGCACGGTTGCCGGAATACCGCATTGCTGAGCTCATCAGATCCGCGTTGGAAGCATGCGCATACATACACAGTCAAGGCGTAGTGTAAGATGAGGAATCTTTAGGTTGCGCGTGCAAGATACGGAATAGGTCGGTTCCTATCTCTCAGTCATCGAGATATCAAAGGTGACAACTTCCTTTTCGAGACCACCGACATCGATAATGGGGAGCTCGTCATGATCGACTTCGGCTTAGCGATCGAGCGTAAGAGCGCCCAACTGTAATCAATGTTAATAAGCCTCTCAGTACGAGGCGACGACAAGCCTTTAAAGAAGGCATGTGGTACTGTGAGGTGACACCCTATCACTACTAGTGTCACCACTACCATCACTTCCTGTAGATGGGTTGCACCTGAGATGCTCAAGGAAGGCTACAACAGTGGATCGGTGGACGTTTGGGCGGTCGGTATCCTCTTGTAAGATGCACTGCTACTTCACAAGGATGGCCTTTGCAGCAAACGCACTTGCTACTCTTACTCTTACAGACAACGAGCCAACTTCCTAGACACTACTCATATCAGCCCTAGATTTTGTATAGGAACTCTCTGAATATGCGCCATGGACTTGATTTTCGGAGAGAAAATTTCTGCACTTTTTGGGTCCCCAGTGATTTCCTTATGGGAGAATGCGTGTCTAATGGAACGGATACAGCGGTACAATACAATACCGAGACAATCTAAAATCAACTTGGTTGAAATGCCCATCGAAACTGATGAGAAATATGCACATGGTTAACTACATGTGTTGGTGACGATATGGAAGTTCTGGGGAAATCCTTGTTGGTTTCTGTACACTTCTACCCGAATTCGCATATAAACTCCTATAATTAACGAAGGAGAAACTGACGTCATCTGAGGAAAGCAAGCTGATGAGGAAATCCGCGATGCAGATGATACTTCGAATCATCTTAACTATAACCCTAGCTCTTACAATGGAGTTCCACCCGTTTTAAGTGAAGTGGCGTAATACTCGGTGAAAAACCCGATATTCGCGGTGATATGCAGCAGTCGCGGAATATGTTTTCCGCTAGTGTTTATCATATCACTCGAGTGAGCCTTTAATGTAGTGTCTACTGCAATACTAGAGAATATAGAAAACACGAGCGCATTGGCTTCGGCTGAATCGAGGTACATTCTAGTCTACGGTCAATACCCGTTCGACGGCAGAGTTGTCCAAAACGTTCTACGAAGCATCCTTTATGTAGCATAGGGGTGATGATAATGCTCCTGCTCATGGTGACTACTCAGCAAGAACCCTCGTACATTCCGAGAGGACACCAGTGGGAACCCTCGAGAGCAACTGAAAAGTGCCTCGTCTGGACCTGTTTTGTATCTTACACGCGCAACCTATAGATTCGTGAAGAAGTTGTTGACGAAAAATTCTCGAGTGAGGCCCTCGGCCCGTCAAGCTCTGGAGAACTCTTGGTAAGTCACCATCATTTTCGCGAGATCTTTCTTTTCCACATCGTTACTCGAAAGTGTTGCTAGTAACATCACCTTATGCGCTGGTCAGCTATGTT